TAAGTTAAAAGACACTGAACTGCAGTTCAAGAACGAAAATTTGCTAGAAAAAAAATATCTTGATAAATTTTTCTAGAATTTCAAATTTCCAAATTTCAAATTTCTTTTGAAATTCTGAAAATTAATAAGTTAAACATTTTTTTTATTTCAAACTCGTATATAATTTAAAAATAATAAAATAAAACTCTGAATTAATCTAAAAACTTCAGAGATTTTTAGCATTTTTTTTACTTTTCAAACTGTGAAAATTCCTTATTTTTTCTATAAACTTTCTTTGATTAATATGAAAATTTCGGAGTTTTTAAACAAAGTTCAACTTTTCTAACTTTTTTCTAGAAAATGTGAGTTTTTGGCGGAGTCTTCATGCTTTATTCCCCTCTGACAGCCTCGGTGACCTGAACTCTGAACTCTGTTGGGTTTGCGTGTCTGAAGGCGGTGGTTGTAGCAACAGCTGATGTCCAGATGTAACTACAATAAACTGAGTAAAAGTTTAGATTCAACAACTCTGGGCTGTTTACGGTTCCAGGTTTTATGACCTCAGTGTAATCTGAGAGCCGTTTTCCTCTGGGATTAGCTCCGAACTTCAAAGCAGAACAATCCTGTGTGTTTGGAGCCCAGCGGAGTGAAAATGTTTCTTTGTGCAAAATGGACCCAGGCAGCGCTGGCCCGGCTCAGCCAGAGGGCACTGCGGTGAAATCAGCCCATCGGAATGCGGAACCGGTGAGAAATGCAGCTGGTAAAGGAAGCGGAGCAGCTATCTGGCTCCGCTGGCGGCTCCAGCCTGATCCGGGTTCCCACAAACAGACAAAGCCGCGATTGTTCCAGTCCAGTCCGGGGAACAGGCGCCGCCGAACCCGGACCCGGGCGGGACCAGAAACATGGAGGAAAAGTTTTAAACTAGAGAAAAATTAAAATGTATTTACTCACTTTTCTCCGCGTGGAGCCCGGTGGAAGCCGCTAGAATAAATCCGCAGATGAGTGCGCAAACTGCGGCTGAAGCCATGGTGTGTGCGGGAGGAGAGCTGCTCGCTGTCGGCCACGCAATTCCCAAAAGTTCATCTGATTAGGAATCCGTGCTGGTTTTCAGCATGGAAAAGCGAGCATCAGAGTGAGTCATGCGGAGGAGTCTGCGCCGTGTTTTAATAGTGCGCACACACCCACGCTGCGCAGTTCAGCTCCTATGAGTCATTTCCTATGTAGCTGCGGCGCAGCGCGGACTCTCTGCGCCCACAGGAAACTCCGCCGCGGTTTCATGTCTCACACTTTTTTCACTTTCATTTTTCAAACGAAACTTTCAAACAAATCAGTCCAGGTATCGCGGTTTCACTCCGCACCGATAGATTTGTAACATTTTACAGGCCACGCCCTGCGTGTTTTCCCACTCTGAACACCGTGTAGTCCAGGATTTACAGCCTCATTGTTATTACCACGCCTGCAGACGTCATGCTCCGCTTTGTGCCAAAAAACACAAGACTCTGGCAGGGGCCGGGGTCCCTTACGCACAGCGAGCCGAGCGGGGGAAACAGAGGAGCCCGGGCAGAAACACATGACATTAATTAACAGGTTAAATCATCCCGTTATGCACGGAGCGATACAGAAAGTTTACCAGAAGGTAAAACTCATCGGGAAGACGCTGGAGATGTTTCTGCTTGGACACAGCGTCGCTGACGCAGGGTGGTGTTATTAATGTCTGGGGCTGGGTGTAGCCGCTGCTGCTGCACAAATATGCAAAAACAAAGCCAGCGGACTCAAAATCAGCATCACTACTGTCTCATGTAGCGAAGAGGAGAAGAACTGCAGCGTCTTCTGGTCAAACAGCAGGAAAAAATTAAAATAAAACACAAATCTAGTACAACTATTCCTACTTTACAACCTGCAATGTGTTTCATTGGATTTTGTTTGATAGAACAAAACTGAAGCAGAACTTAAAGGCGATTTTTTTTGTTTCTAATTATTTTTCTGTTTAGACAAAAACATCTGAAAAGTGTGGCATGCTCATGTATTCTGGCTTCTAACTGCATTTTTCCATCTTGTTCTGTTATTCCATCATCAAACACAAACCTGGGGTTTTGCTCCGATTCTTTCATGCAGGTTTGAGAAATCATCTAATCTCCATGGCAACCATTCAGCTGTTAAAACGCCTGGGTGGGCCTAGCCCCGCCTTCGAGACGCAGCTCCTCCTCAGAGCTGCAGTTTCCAAACCGGAGCCTGATAGTTGTGTTGAAGTTGTGCTAAATTGACCCAAAACCTGCAGAAACAGGATCAGAGCCTGAAACTTCACAGTTCATCACCACAAACCTCAATCTGATATTCAGTAAGTTTCAAAAACATTGAAAAGTTAATCATTTAAAGGGCCGGTATCATGTATAATTAACTTTTTTCATCTTCCCATCAATTTATAATATTTTTCCCTGGTGTGTTGCCTTCATTTTTCCATGCATGTTAGAGAAATCATTCAATCTCTATGGGAACCATTCAGTTGTGCAAAACTCCTGGGTGGACCTAGCCCCGCCTTCGAAGAGCAGCTCCTTCATACTAGCCAGCAGCAATTAGCAAACAGCTGATGGAACTGCTGCTCAGAGCAGGATAAAGTTTTAATTGGAAAAAAAAATAGTGAGGAAGAAGGAAGCTATGCTAGCTTGACTATGACAAACTTAACATGTAGCTGTGCTGTGGAATTTGATGTGTTTCAGTTCAGTTACAGTTTTGCTGTGGTGTGCACTAAATGAATAATACCAACAGGTTTCATTTTAAAGGGACTGTTCCACCGCAGCAGCTTTGGATAGCAAGAAGAATCGTCTTTTTGCTCTCCAGTGTTGTGCACATGCATAAAATTGCCTATGTCACATAAACAATAACATAGGGACAGTGCAATTCTAAAATTTTAGGTCATCAGTCACAAATTCTCCTTAGAATTCTCCTTAGAATTAGAAATTTTACTAGAGGGAATCCAAGTGAAAGGGAGAAATCCCAGACTGAGTTGTGAAGAGAGATGTGAATTGAATGTTAGTTCATTTTAAAGGGCTTTAAAATGAGCAACACACTTGTAAAAAGTTTGGTAAACAGAGTAACTTCTTTTTTCTTCCATCAAGTTAAACTTCATTAGTTGGATGAAATTAAACGGACTAAACGTGAAAACGCTGGAGGGGTGTGAATACTTTCCACTTGGAACAACCCCGCCGTTATTTTCTCACTCCGTTTTTTCTCCAGTTCTTGAGGAAATCTCTGCTAACTATTCCCAAATGCCTGATAAACTTTTTTCTTTTTCTTCTTTCCCCACATTCGCTCATCTCCTCCGCAGCCTGGAACCTCTTATGAGCGTTGCTTGGTGTGAACTGCCTTTCCCACAAGAACTAACGTCAAACAGACGCTCCACCAAACCCCCAGTAAATACTTCACATCATCAGAAAGCGGAGGGAAGGTTTCATTGGCGCAATTAAGCTGCAGGCAGATGTTTTTGTACTCCGTTGTCACGGCTAACCTTTAGGAAAGCTCTCTAGGAGGACCTGGAGCCCACGAAGGACGACTTTCCACTCAAGTGATTTCATCAGTAATGAGGCACTATAAGCTGCAGATGTTGTGTCAAACTCTCCGGCAGGCGCCATGGCAACGGGGTGAACACACACAGAGGAGCTTGCCCAAGGTGATCCAAACACTCCTGTATGCGCTGAGCGCGCGCCAAGCGAGCTGATGTCTCTCAGGCGTCGTCAATGCAAAGACGAACACAAACCCGGCAGTTTGGACTTTCTGTAGGAAACACGTTCAGGTTTCAGCTCTGCTGGCCAAACAAAGTTTAGGTTTCGGCTGCACCACCTTCGATTCCACTCATCACAGGATTGCGCAAATTGAGCAACAAAAATAAATTAACTTAAGTAAAAAGTATTTGCGCTCGGAAGAGGTGCGTTTTTTCAGCAGTAGAAATCGGTTTATTTGACTAAACTGCAATAGAAACCTTTTTACATCACAAGATTAACAACCGGATGTTAAACAGGCGGAAAAGACGAAGGAGACGACAAATAGGAAGTGGTAGGAAGATTTTTCTAAATGGGCAAATTAAAAATACAAAAACTGGAAACGCGCCAATTTAGATAAAAAAATCTCGTTTAAAAAGGTTTTGTGCTACGATGAGGTGGTTTATCAGCTGTACAAACTGGTTCATGTAGCAAAGGAAACAAGAGGACAGGAAGTGGGAGGAGCATGATGGCGCAGCATGTTTTATTTTAATACGCAAAAAAAGTTGAAAGTACAAAAATAAATTTGCTTAATGAAAACATCCAAGTTTAGAAAAAAAACATGTATTTTTCTATAAAACGTTGTTGGGATGAGGCCGTTGTTTGGCCATATCAAAGTCGATTTATTTTGTAAAAATGCTTTGGAAACATTTTTTTTCCGTCAAACGAGTCACATGATCAACACCAGATGTTACTGCTGCCGGAAACCAAGAAGAAGACAACAGCAGGAAGTGGTAGAAGGATGATGGCGCAGTTTGTTTTTTTACTGCGCAAACTGAAAGAACGAAAATAAATTTGCTTAATTGTAACAAGCCAATTTTGGAAAAAAAAAATAAAATAAAATAAAATAAAATAAATGTCTACATAAATTTGTTTGGACTAGGATGAGGTGATTTTTTGGCTGCAGAAAATTTATTTAGCTAAAAACGCAATGAGAACATTTTCACATCATACTCGTCACATGATCAACAACCGGATGTTACTACTGGGGGAAACGACAAAGAAGAGGACAGGAAGTGGTATGACGATGACGGTGCGGCATGTTTTTTTAATGCGCAAATTGAAAGCACGAAAATAAATTTGCCAAATGAGAACACGCCAATGTTTTTTAAAACAAGTTTTTCTATTTAAAAAAGTGTTTTTCATAGAAAGACTAGCTTGCGCTACAGGATGAGGTGGTTTTTCAGCCATAGAAATAGATGAATTTGGAAACATTTCTTTTCCTGGAACGACTAGTTCTAGTAAAATAAAAGCTCGACATGCGAGAACGTCGCTTCCCTCACAGGTGTGTGTTTATTAAACTAGCTCACAACACACTCAGGCAGATAAATCACCATGTTTGGTCACCAAATGGAAAACAATCTGATAAAACGAGTCTTTTCCAAAGATTAAAAATGTCTGAGTGAATCTGCAGTCCTCCTGCTCCCCCCTCTGGTCTCTTCTCCCCTTTGGTTCAGTCTCTCCTTTCTTTCTCTCTCGCTCGGCCGCTCAGGTGATGTAGATGCGGTGGAAGTCGTTGGCTCCGAAGGCGCAGTTGCACTTGGGGCATTTCCTCTGCCGCGTGTCGTAGCGCATCTTCAGACACTCGTAGCAGAAGACGTGGAAACACTTGGTGAGGACGGTCTCCTTGTCCCGCGTGTTGCAGCAGGGGCAGCGCAGCTTGGCCTGAGCGGGGAGGTCAAACCGTCACAAAAGTAACCCAGTACGGAGATACATTGGGGCCAGAAAAAATATTTGAATCTGAAAAGTAATTTTGAACTTGTTTTTTAGTTTTAAATATTTCTTTTCAACTTCAAAACATTTTTAAGTATCAAATAATTTTTTTTCCAATTTAATTTTTTTTAATCTTCATGTCCACAATTAGGTCCATAAAACTGAAATTAAACTTTTTTCAGTTTTAAGACTTTAAATTGTTTGTTTAAAAAAAAAATAAAAAAAAATAAAATTAAGTTTTCCCCCCAATTTTTTCAGTTTCAAAACAATTACTCAGTTTTAAGTCTAAAAAAAAAAAAAAAAAAAAAAAAAAAAACACTACTCCCACAACTTAGCTACATATAACTAAAATTAAACTTTTTATTTTAGTCTCATCTTTATTTCCAGTTTTAAAATTATTCTCCAGTTTCAAGAATTCTTTACTGTAAATTTTTTATAGTTTAAAAAAAAGTACAAACTTTATGACCCCAATTTAACTCCAAGAAGCTGAAATGAAACGTTTCTTTTTAATTTTAAAAATAGTTTTTCAGTTTCAAATTTGTTTCTAGGGAAAATTTTCTGGCCCAAATGTTTCTCTAAAATGAAGCAGCTACAAAAATCACAAAGTTCATGAAATTGAGAAGAAAAATACTGAAGTTAATCAGTTTTACAGATACAAATCTGAAAAGTGTGGCGTGTGCTTATATTCAGCCACCTTTTAACATCTATATGCATGCCACACATATCAGATTTTAATTTGTATCAAACTGAAAACTGCATTTTTTATTTTTCTTCCACTCCACAGTTTCTGTTGTCACATAAAATCCAGATAAAAACCCAGAAGTCTGAAAAGTGGATCAACGAGCCGATCAACGAGCCGATCAACGAGCCGATCAACGAGCCGATCAACGAGCCGATCAACGAGCCGATCATTTCTCCTCACCTTGTACTGGTTGATCTCCTCCTGCAGGATCTCGTCTGCGTCAGAGTAAACCTCCACCTTCTTCTGCTTCTCCAGCTTCCTCCTCAGCCGAACAGATCCTCCTGCAGAACCAGGACAAAGTTCAGACTTTAAAAACCCGTTCAGATTTGTCTTGGTTTTACTATATCACCTTTGGACCTAAAGGATCTAAAATCAGAACAGCTTCAGTTATTCCAGCTGGGAACTAAAAAAGCTGAACATTCAGAGCCACATAAAGACGGTTACAAAGACGGCCTTCTGAGGAGCATCTCAGCTTTAGAGAAACTCATCCATGCGTTTGTCATCAATTGTATTTATTAATGCAACAAACGTCCAGAAAACTGCAGAACAGCTGAAACCCTGAGTTCCATTAAATCAAGATGAAAACCCGTCTGTTTAGAGCTGCTTCGATTCTAAACCACTGGAACACTTATCAATAGAGATGTGCCGATCAGGTTTTTTCCTGCCTATTCCGATTCCGATCACCCATGAGGACCGATCACCGATACCGATCACCGATACCAATCACTGATACCAATCACTGATACCAATCAC